AACGACATTAGTGTTTCCATCACATTGGCTGCCGTGAACGATACATGGTTTAAGCCTAGTGGTGATGAAAGCTGTGTAAAAAGCGGATGAAATGATGATTCACTCCGGAAAGCATGGATAGTGTATTGGCGAAGCACGTTGGCTGCATCTTGTGCGGTTTGCGTAAGACCATCTGTTGCACGTAAAACCGGGGTCCCGCGCTGCACTCTGCGGAGCTTTTTGACGTGTCTATACAGCAACTTGGGATTTGTACTGAATTTCGCCGCTAAGTTTTGTTGGTGCTAGAGCTTGTCTTCGCCGATCAACTTGACGCATTGGTTTCGTTGAATAGTGCATGCACCCCTGGTCAGGTTACTTGGACAGACTTTGTAAGCACGCCTGGCTGAATCCCTTAAGGCCATGCATTTTCTAGTACGGCTCCTCAGGGAGGAATTCACTTGCTTCGGGCGAAGGACCTTGCTTTCTGACGCATTCGACACTAGCTCAGTGGATTGGGTGACGAACAACATCCAGACGACATCGAGCGGGTTCTCGGCCAGGAAGTACCAGTCGGTTTCTTGAACGAAGTTGGACAGTATATCGTAATGTTTAACGACATAGGTTTCCACGTTGTTCTCACTGATGTACTCCGAGTAAAAAAGGTAACGAAAAACCAACATTGCGTAATTGATTCGGCCAAGTGGTGCATCTATGGTTACAGTGTTGACCATTAGTTGCTCTTTGGAGAACAAAAGGTCCAAAAATGGGTGTGTCACCCGTTCGGAACCGTGTGGGAGAGGTGACATGGTTGTACAGAGGTACATCGGCGATCACCTCTTGCAAGTCCGCCTTGAATTGTTCGCTGTGCGATGCTGAAACTTCGATTGCGTGCAAGTCGAAATCCCCTACCAGAAAGACGTGACTATATGCTCGTGCCAGGACTCGTTTCATCGCAGAAGGTGGACATTGAAGGGTGGGAAACTATTGCTAGTAAACACACGTCACCAAGTTTTAGGTGCATACGACATGAAAGAGAATCGACGACTTTCGTTTCTGGGTCCTCAATGACATCAACATGCAGGTCAGATAAATAATACAGGAGCACTCCCCCTCCTCTGCTAGGTCGATCGTTTCGTATGGAAGTCATCCCGGGTAGTGCAATCTCAGCATCCATGGTCTCCGTGTTCAGCCATGTTTCGGTGACCATAACTAGGTCCCAAGGCGTGGAGACTTGACGAACATGAAGTTCGGTTAGCTTGTTGAGAAGACCTTGTGCATTGGTATACAATCAGGGGAGGGCATCGGTGGTCAGAACCGTGTTTGTGAATGCTGGTTTCTGGAGAGGGTCTATGTCGGCCCTTGGGGGGTCGGCTGCCAGTCATCTTTTTGTAGCACCGATGACGCAGGTCCTAGGGCCAGTTCAGGTTGTTGTATAGAGTTCACGGTGCCAACAAGAGGGTGACCATGGTGTCCTTCTTCAGCTGTCGGTGTGTTTTGGCATTTTTCCGTTCTGAGCTAACCGGTGAGAGAATTGTATTGGTAAGTTGCTTGCACAGTGTTACATTGTCTACCTGTGGCCCGGTGCCTATTGCTTTTATACCTATTTCGGATGGCAGCAATTTACACATTTTGATCACATGTTCTGCCATTACTTCGGAGTGCAATGATACTTTCTTCACTCGGGGATCAGACCCTTTGTAGTTAGGTGATAACAGTAACCTTGATGTCGAAGTAGCGATAACATTTTCGAGTGAGAGTACTTCACGAATAAAACACCATACATCTTACTCATGCGCTTTGACCTCTAGCTCGCTTAGTGACTGCAGCTCGTCGACACCGTGAACATGGATATATTTTGCATCATGTTGTTTATGGAAGTCATCCAGATTTTGTTTGCGTTTCTGGCGTTCGCTCCAAGGAACATGCGGAAATATTCGGATAGTGCATGTGGTGGTACGGAGGCGAGTGGCCTCTGCATCATTACCTGACTGTCGTGTTATCTGGAGTAACCGCGGTTCACCGTAGCGTACGGAACTTGAGTAACGGAGAGATGCATTATAATGATTGGTTTAGCTTGAACCCCTATTAGTTGACACAGGGAGTCCCACTGTATTTTCTCGTCTAGATCTTATCTTTATAGAGTTCGTCCCGGATTCAGTCACATTAGAGCATATAACAGTTAAATTATGGTAGTGTTTCATGTTCTCCTTTTTGGAGGGACCAGTGGATGCTTTCTTCGGTTAGACAAATGATGGGATCATGAGTCCCGTGGTGGTATTGGCAGCGGGCGGGGTTGCAATGGGAGGTGCCTCCGTCGTATGGGTGGCAACAACGGACGTGTAGGTTGTTAGCCCTCTAACAGTGTTTAGTGTGGTGGGTGATTCTGTTGAGGAATGTGTGGCGAACGCATCTTTATGAGCAGACGCTAGTGTCGGGGTGGCTAACCCTAGATATGGTGTGTGCCGCTCGTCAGCTGCAGGAGAGATGCGGAAAGCGACACCGACCATTGTACTCGCTATTTAAAACTTTCCCAAGGCATGTGACACGGTGAACCGCGAGATACTATGGCTGGTGTTGGGTCAGTTTGGCTGCCACAGAAAGTCCACAGAAAGTCCAATACGATGTTTGCATAGTGGTATGCGGTCGATGGTACAGCTAAGTGGACAAACCTAGGACCACTTTGAGGTTGTCCCTCGTGTGAAGCAAGGCTGTCTTAGTCTGTGCTCTACTTAAAATTCACGTAACTGCCGCGATGTCAATACCATTTCTTGACTAATTGCATCCACAGAGCTTTCAAATTCCTCCCTAAGGAAATCATGTTCCTCCACAGGGCTCTCAAGATGCTCCACTTAGCGCTACCAAATTGCATCCAACAGGCACAGACACAGCTAAAATAAGCGAATTGTTCGTTGAATGACCAATGTGAAATCAGCTAACAGCATCCCACTGTGTACTATCGACAGAGTCGGGTGTTGATCGCTCAATGGACAGTAGCATTTATGGGCGTTTGCGCCGTTGAATGCATTTTGATAAGGTTAAGGATCTATAAAGGAATATGATTTCTTTAAGGAGGAATTTGAAAGCGGTATGGATAAAAGTATCTGAGAAAAGGTATAGTGCACTCTATGCTTATAAAGAGTGTCCCTTTCGAGCACAGTATTGATGGTGGGGTGCTGAACATGCGACATTTCGGGGTGAGAAGCAGAGTGCGCAAAATAACCATCCTTATGTTGCTGTTTGTCAACGACTGCGTGTTGTTTGCTTAGTGTGGATGAGTTGCACCTCATAAAGATGGTTCTCGATTCGACAGCGGCCGAGTTCGGACTAACCATCAAGACAAGTAGGACTGTTTGTCTTTTCAAGCCATCACCGGGAGTGGAATGCGTGGGAGGCCTGTTAATTAATATTACTGTGGAAATTATGGAGATCTCTCAGAAATTTCGCTCATTCAAAGCATACTGTCAAGGAAACTACAGATGATCAGCGAGGTGAACATTCGCGTATCGGACGTGTGTTGTATTTGGCAAACTGGAGCATCAGGTGTGAGACCTTTAAAACGAAACCGACGGTGTACCAATCGATGGTGCTGGCGGTTCTTCTTTAACGCAGAGAAACATGAACGCAATCCAAGAAGGAGATCAGACACCAGGAGCGCTTCATCAGCAGTGCTTGCGTCGGCTTCTACACATCAGATGGTATGACCAAGTTCCTCACACCGAAGTGCTTCGCCCGGGAGGCATGCATGCTGTTACTGTAACACTTGAGATGGCTCGATATCCATCATGTGACCAGATTACCGCAGCAGCTGCTATATGGCCAAATGCGCGCATGGCAGCGGAATGTGGGTAGATCGAAGCTGTGCTAGCAGGACATAATCAAGGTAAATTTAGCAAGAACTAATCGTTGCCATTAGGCGTTGGGAAGCAATGACAGTAGATCATAGTCAATGGCGTGACCACATCAAGTAAATTGTTGACCAGGTGCATCAGAAGTGACTGTTGCACAGAAAAGAAAAGCGCCGGTTGCGAAAGCGACGGACGCCGATGGAGCCTAACCAATCGAAATCAAGCCCGTGTAGTTGTGTGTGAAGCAGCTCGGTCTGTCTTGCCAGTCATAAACGTGCCCAAGAAGGGCCAAATCCAAGAGAAAACGGTTAGATGAAGCGGATAAGTGCCAGGGCATGGCAGTTATACTGCTTCCACACCATTTACCTACCCAGAGCAAAAACGCGGATGATGCGGTACATTCCTAAAACATCGATGCAGTTGGTCCGTACGTGTGCCTGTGTGTTTGTTTTCTCGAAAGTTAGGTGTTTGTTGATTGATATCCCCGGTGCGGCTGCATTTGTTGGCAGGGTGACTAGCTGTTGTTAACCCTCCAGCTCGATTACTTGCACCATGATATGGTGGATCGTTGTTGGGTGAGACGGTGTGCACAGTCTTTGTGACGGTGCTAAGCTCACAGTAGTTCCATGCAGTTTAGAAGGGGACCAGCCAGTATCCTAGGTGCGTTTCATCTGCATGTTTCCCACTGTGCAAAGGAAAGAATTGTATGAATGTGGGCTGAATCCGAATCAATGGTGGCTCCCACATACATGCCTCTCAGCCTTATTCTTTCGGGTTTACACTGGTTATGGCGCGTGTGGATGGAGCTATGGGTGATGCAGCGCAAGACATTCATGGTCGCTCAGTAAGCACAGGCGTCCTGTGGCTGTTCACAGTCTCCGTGGAAGGCAAATCCGAAACAGGATGCCTCCCAACCAGACATACATATGTTGTAAGGCAAAGAAGAGAGGTTGCAGACAAGCTGTGCTGGCAGAAATTTATCTTTTCTGCTTAAAGTGAGTTTGGCACTAAAAACAGTGCGAAAGAAGTTCAAAGCGACAGAGCACAAATAGCCTGTGCAGGGTAAAAGTTAATTGGCTCATGAAAGTTGCCACTGGTCTTTATTCAAGCTAAATTAGTTAGTCTGGGGATGAGGGAAAGAATACGCATCAAGTAAGCAATAGCGAATATGCCTACTTGTCAAAAGTCATCCGGATAGGCTTAAATTGGACCTTGTCTATGTGGAAATGGGGTGTTTGTCCGATAATTCTGAGATGCTGTCCGTCACAAAATGGTTGAGTATTGCTGTACCCGCAGGTGCACCACCAGTATACACGGTTCGGTACACAAACCATTTGCAAAGGATGCTTGTCCGCTATGCGTCCCTTGGGTCGGGTACCAGGATCTGGAGGGAGGAAAAAATAAAAAGACTGCATAACTAGTGATGTAGTAGTATGAAGGAAGTATTAGTGCGCGATGCGCGGTAGGGAAGTACTTTCGTATGCCATAACAATGCTGAAGTAACACACGACAAAGCAGCGCACTCTTGTCGGTTTGACAGGAAATCAAACAGCTTCGAAAAGATGTACCTGCTCTACCACAATTTGTTCGCTAGCATACACACACGGTTCATGGGAGGGACAAACTGAAACAAAACGAGTGCGCATAAGTAGCTGTTTCAACGGAACACTAACGAAGTGTCAGCATTTTTCGCTCGTTAAGGCAGTAAACCAGTGCGCTATTTTGATGCCGGAAACAGCTTAAGAATAGAAACAGTGCTGTGATATGACAAATAATTGCTGGTATCTTAAAAAAGTGAAAATATAAAACGGCAGCGACATAAATAAAGTTGCTTTCAAATCCTTAACTCATAACCAAAGACAAAACAAGACTGGAACAGGTGTGAAAATCACATGAGCAGGAAATAAGAAGGGTGTACGGTCGAATACAAATGTGGTCACGATGTGGTGAGGCAGGAACATAAAAATAACTACCGTTTATATATATATATATATATATATATATATATATATATATATATATATATATATTCGTTTGCAAAGAACACAATTTTGCGAAGAGTACTCTTTTCGACAAATCTCCTCAGGCATTTACAATTATAAAATGGAAAAGCACAAAGCAAACGGGTGATGAAGCCAAATGGGTGGGAATAGTGGAATCACGACAAACAGAAGCACAAAAGTCTTGATCAATAAAGTCCACTAACAACACATGTGACAGAGCAAGTGTTGGTTGATCGGTGGGATCCCAAGCGTATCATCCGACCACTGTAGGCGCACGGAGTGATAAAATTTGGTAAGTTAACTAGGGCCAATATAGAAGAAGCCCTTGCAGCAAAGCTCTCTGTTTGCATCATCCCGGTTGAATTATTCTAATCGCAAACGCTTCGACCGTCCGTAAGATTTGCTTCATAACACCATTAGTGTACCGTGGCTGTACTACATAGAGTACTTGGAACGCATCAGCGGTCCTAATTCGGTGTCCGCTTTCCACCAGATGTTCCAGAATGAAACTGTTGGGGCGACTGACGATTGCTTACCGCAAAGCCACTGGGCAGTGCCCCGCAATGCGTTTAGACAGACGCCTTGTTGTGTGTCCCACGTAGCTCACACCATAGGCGCAGGTAAACTGATATAAGATGTAGGATTGGGACTGAACCGTAAGTGCCTTTAACGTGTTGAGCTATAAAGGGAGCTGTTTCCGAAAGGACGTGTGGGCATGCGGCCTGGAAGCTTTTAGCCACTGCACTGGAAATTCTTCTGGTCAACAGACCAAACGCAACATCGCCTTTAGAGGGAACTGATAGAAACACGTCCTTCTTAGGGAGAGTAGTAATCACTTCACGGCTTTCGCAGACCATTGCATACATTCTGATGAATGATGTCGGGTAAGCGTTAGCTTGCAGCGTTTTGGGAATATGGATCTTTTCGGCCCCTAGCGTCTCTTGGCTGCAAATATGCATAGCACGAAAGTACAAGCAGCGAACAAGATTAGGTTTGTACCTCAAGGGTACAAAGCTCAGAAAATGTGTATATTGGCCTACGCAGGTGACCTTCCGGAATACACTTCTTTCCAATGAACCGTCATTTCTTCGGTTTACCAACACGTTCAAGAAGCCTAGCTTACCATCTCTTTCGGTTTCGATAGTGAACCTCAACGATGAATGAACACAGTTTAAGTAGTTGGTTAGCGGCATCCGTTTCCGGATTTGCCTGTCACTGCGGCCTCTATGGGGAGAGCCACAAGACGTCTGTGCCTACAGAGAGACCACGGGTGGCTTGCGTTACACCATCCACAGTTCCACCCACATACCTCATATCCAGTGTAAACCCGAAGGAATAAGACTGGGAGGCGTGTGGATGGAACCCATGTTACATCAACGGAGCCGGCCCAAACTCCTTCACAGGCACACACATGCACGCTGTATTTAAAGAATCAATCGCACACAAGGCGGTGGATGGATCGTTGTCCGCTCCACACTGAACGCATGGAACCACTCTATGAGCATATCACGGTCACAAGGATCACGCACAACGTCCACTCCTGCAAAGACCAATTGTCTCCTGGAGCCAGTATGGACGAACTGGTGGGTAATAGACAGGTAGGCACCTTGTCAACATACACATCAAGCGCAGCCACACTGGAGATAACAAACAACAGCCAATCACTAGAGACGACAACAAGAAACAAAGCCAGAAATGCATACAGATATGCTGATACAACTCTTCAATAAATGAGCATATGACAGAAACTAGTTGCCAAAAAAACCCGCAGTAGGTTCAAGACGTAAAAAAATATTTTAAGCAAATGCTACCAATGCGAAAATGTTATCGAAGTTAACCATAATTAGCTTAAGCGACGTGTGCAAGTTAATAGAAGACAGTTCATGTAAACATAATTATGAGATAAAAAGAAGCACTGGACAATATAGAAAACCCACCACCTGAAATAAAGAGACTCAGCATGCAAGCAAACGGTTAGTGAATCGAATGCAGCGTACCTACAAACGCTGCGCCGGTTTGGCAAACGTTAACAGCAGGACTCGTCGTCGTTTACGTGGTGGCCCCGAGTGGCCTCGCTCATGGATCACTAAACATGTCTGAGTCAGGCACTCGCGACCACATGTGCTAAAGCACCATGCGCTCGACGTCGATAGAGTACAACCCATCGGGGTTTGCCGCTTCCACACCTGCAGCTTCGTTTCCGCACGCACGAGAGATTTCTCCTGCAACTCGGCAACGACCTTCGTGATCAGATCGCACCATGCACGCCGATCAACCGCATTTGATTCCCATGAAATCAAAATTGGAACGTGATAGATGCACTTTGATCATGTGCTGGAAGAAAGCTTCGGTGTCCCTGCATGCCGCTTCCCAATACTTAGCTGACCATATACTATCTGCTATGGTAACCGCGTCGAATCCATACGACTCACATGACCGAGCCACCTAAGGTGTCTCAGTAAAAGTATGCAGTTCACTGCATACATTCCACTTCGGGGACACACTTCCGTATGCGCAAGTCTGTCGTTCCAACCGATGTACAGAATCCGCCGCAGACACTGTTAATGGAACCGCTAGAGATATCGCACATCTCGCCGGTACATCGTCCACCTTTCGCTGCCGTATAGAAGAACGGACAGCATCATGGATTTGTACACCATCAGTTTCGTGCCAACGGTAAGCTGATGGTTGTCCCACACTCGGTACTCTAGCATCCCGAATGCCGCTGCTACCTTGGAGACGCGGATACGAAGCGCACTGTGAAGCTGCTGGTCAGTCGACATCACACTCCCAAGGTAGCAGAAGCGGGAGGTGGTTTCCAACACTTCATCACCAATGCCGATTCGCGGCACCATTGTAGATTGCACCTCCGGTGAAGGTTGAAAGAGACAGACAGTTTGCTTGTGTTGATGGCACGCCCGAATTTGGCCGCTATCGAAGCCAGAACACAAGTCATGTTCTGCAACTAAACCGCGCTGTGTGAAAACAAAGCACAGTCATCAGCGAACAGCAACATACGGATAGTTGCCTCACAGCCTAGGGTTCTCGCACTGAAACGACGTTCAGCAACCCACCATCAATACAGTGCTCCACACGAGCACCGTAAACACCAGCCGCATCAAAGGCACAAGACATCATTGCATGAAGATAAGTATTGTAGGGGGTAGAAGCTAAGACAGAGCCTTACTTCACACTAGAGACAACCGCAAAATCATCCGAGGTCTTTCCACTCAGCTGCACCCTCGCCTGCATACCACTGTGCGCGGACAACCAAACTTACGCATACACAAAAGAGGGAACAGGCAAGATCCAGCCAGCTATCGCCCAATATGCTTAGCCTCGATAGTGTGTAAAGTATGGAGCGGATCTTGAAGCAGGCTCTTCATCTCTACCTCGAGGAACTGAATGTCTTCTCTTATGCACAGCATGGTTTTCGAAAGGCACGCTCATGTACCTCGGAGTTACTGGTTGCTAAGGAGAAATGGGCGTAGTCGCTAGATGCCGGTCAACGCCTGGACATTGTGTTTGTTGAATTCGGCGAAGCTTACGACAGGGTTCCGCATGAACGACGTTTGCTTAAACTGCGAGAAATCGGTATCGCAGTGAATCTTCTCTCTTGGATCTTTGACTTCCTTTGCGACCGCACCATGCAGGTGAAAGTAAACGAAACATTTCCGCTCCTGTTTTCTTGACTAATGGAGTTGTAGAGGATACTGTCCTCGGCCCCGTGCTTTCAATGTCTTCATCAATGACTTACCGTCCGCACTCTAGGCGCATTGCCTCATCTACGCCAACGACCTGAAGCTATGGATGGAGGTATCAAGCATGGAGGATGCTGACAGGTTACAATCGATGCTCGACCTGCCGGTTCTTCCAGTTGGTGCGTCTGACCCATTTGGAACCTACCACATTGGTGGTTCGTTGCTCAGAAACACCACTCAGGAAAGGGATCTGGGAGTGATAATTTCGTCTGACCTCATATCTAATCAAGATACCAAGAAAAAGTACGCTTTCTCTCGAATGACCCCGGGGCTCTTCCGACTCCTGTTTACTTCACATGTACGTCAGCTTCTCGAATATGGACTACATGCCGCCAACCCTCTTACAAAATGGGAAAATGATTTGATTAAGAAGATTTAACGGCGTGGAACCAAATTCGTTCCTGAGCTGCAGGACCTGTACTATTCTCTCCGATTCAAACAACTGAAGTTCTTTTTCCTGGATTACCGTCGTCATCACGGAGATTTGATATTCACCAGACGTATTCTTAGAGGAGGGAATTACAGGAATTCTTTCACCTCAAAAGAGAGTTCGACAAGAGGTTACAGTTTGAAACTATTTAAACCGAGGAGTCATCGAGTGCGATTCAGCCTAGCTTTAT